GAGCATGCTGTCATGCGAACCTTAGGGAGATATTCCGTGCCCACTGGTACCTGGCAGCTTGGTTCAAAGCCCCATCCTTGAATGTCGCGATGTTTCACAAAGTCGGAGTGCCCAAGTACCAGGATTCTTATGGTACATCGAGCACCACAAAAAAAACACCTACTGTAATCTTCCACTCCCATCTCCATGCAAGCTTCCTCAATGTTGTGCTTCATGAGGTAGTCCCTGGCCTGGGCTTTCAGTGCCTGCCGGGCTGCTCCAAATACATGGATACATGACCAGGGTCAAGAGTTGACTCCAGGGGTTCCATAGCCTAAACAAAGTCTGACTAGAGGCCGAACAAAGGACCTCATTAAAAGAAGGGCGCAGTGCCGCTGTTGGGGCTCGAAGTGGAGGGCAAATCAAATCATTGCGACCCAACGCATTTAATCCTTTAATCTTATCCTGGCAGTTATCGTCAAGGAGTTTCTCAAAATACTCTCCCTAGAATCCCAGCGAGTGACCCTCATCATCCCAATGTGAGCCTTAGTCTAGTCCTCTACACAATGCCCTAGATAACCCCCTCTAAGGAGTTTAGACCTCCATCGAAATGCCTGTATTTCCCGGTGCTTCAGGCTTTCCCGCCTTGGCGCGCTCCTCACGGTTCGCCTTGCTGTCTTCCGACTTCGCCTGCAAGCACATTGACCGCTGACACTGTGTACCTAGACCCTTCATCTACCCTCTCTCTCGTCCCCCCACGGACTCAGGGAGCTCTGTCAGCCGCAAATGAGCATGCCACTCCTCCATCTACCATCTACATAGCCCAAATACGGACCATATAACCCTAGTTAAAGGGTACAAGGAGGGTCTTGGTAAGCTGCTGGAGAAGCATGCATTGCACTCAGGTCAGACTTATTGCACGGCCCACCCGAGTGCTGAGGTGAAAAGGCGGAAGCGCGTAATTGCCTAGCTTATATATACAACCGTATGCTTACGGGCAGGTGGTACCTCCATCAGCCATCAAGCACTTGTCACATCGGGCCAACATATAGCGCATACTGCATACTTCCATTAAAGATTGTCAAAGTGCTCTAGCAAAGGATCTAGATTGCCGGGAATTGGGCGGAAATTCTAGAAAAAATGCTACCCTACGAGACGTACCTATAGATGAAGTCTGATCAGAATCCGCACGATCTCGAACTCTAAAAGTCGAATCCCAACAACGTAAAAGTGTCTCAAACAGGTGGCCGCGCCAAGCCAATGCACCAACATTATGACCAACAGCAGGATCCCAACGTGAGGAGTCCGGACCTCTCGCTTTGCAGCACAAGATCCTTGAAGAACAAGACCTCCCTTCCTCCTGCCCCCGCGCCCTATTCGTTCCACACCACCAAACAACAAAACATAACTCACAACATGGATCCCTGCACAAAGCTTACCAGAACTAGACTAAGACTCAAACTCAGTCAATTGCCAGCCCTCCTGGACGTTGATGCGGATTCGCGTGCCAGGAAGGGCCGGGTCCATGCTCGTCACCGCGACTTCCTGGGCTAAGTTGAGAACTTAAGTCTTGTCTTATCAAGTTCAAGACTGTGCTAGCTGTGGCACTGGCTATGTTTGGTGTCTGTGCCCGTGCATTTTTGCTATGATTTGGTGCTAGCACGTCATCTCGATGGAGTTCTGGAACCAAAAAATATTGTGATTTGATGTTCTGTGGGGGCTTCTAGTTCTGTGATGGAGCTTAAATTACGGGTCGAGAATGTTGTCACACTGTGGGATACGTGGGAATGAGAAGTGTGCATAGGCCATGGAGGGACTCGGTGTTTGATAGGTGAGGTGGCGAAAGAGTCTTGAATGACGGGCGGGTAAGAACATGTTTTCTCTGGAGCTTGAATGAGTTTGACCTCATCTGTGAACAGAATCCACAAATCCATTCCGGCATCCTCGTGTGCTTCCAAGAGTCATGGCTGGACTTGGTATCTGGGTCAACCGCGACGATGCACGTGCCAACCTCAGTGTTCAGCAGGTACTCTCCACCACTGTTGAGCACAGCGGACAAGAAGGAGTAGCTCTTCGGTCTGGCATGGCCTCTGCTCCTTCCTCATGATTTCGCCAAGGTGCATGCTGGTATATGTCTACCTTGGCATTGCGTCGGCGGTCAATTTGTGGAAAGTGGTAGCACCGGTGCGGCTCGTACCTGCCCAACAGATTCAATGAACGACCACTGAATCACCGCTCAAAAGAATAAGTAGACTGGGGTATTTCTCTATCATAAAACTGAAAAACTCCTCAAGGAAGTAATCACCAGCACCTACTCCTTCGAACAGGATCGTTTTGTTGACAAATCGTCTTGCATCAAGCCCATGTACCCTTTGATTGCATGTGCGGTGGGTCTTGGATGGGGAGTGGCTGGGTGTTTCTGAAATGGCCATCATCGGATTCTGCCGTTGCTGGCCTCTACCCTGTTGCCTACCACATCCCATATATCACCCCTTTACAGTTTACAACTAAGAAACTCATCAACTTGCCTTTTGAGTAATTCCCATGGTACACGGACTGCAGGAATTCCGCCTCCCCTGCTTCAGGACGTCACCGACCCGAACGCCGATGAAACCTTGGCTTCTATAAAGTTCCCGATTCAGGGTGATCGGGAGAAATGGGGAATGATGGCTTGGAAGCGATAGAAAAGAGATCAAGAAGGACCATGGTAACAGTGACCACTGCCTCGCCCAGCAGAGAGCAGGGCAAAGCGCAGAAAACTTGGCTATGGGAAGGGCCAACCGCAAGCCTTTCAGAAGAATCGGCTCTTTCTTGATGTGATGCCAGTACGCTAGTCCCAGCGGTCCCGCACCTTGTGGCTGGAATTTGAACGTGCTAGGCCAGTGAAAATAGCTGATAGCAGGCACCTAAGAACCCGATGTCCAGGTTTGATTCATGAAGCTACTTCAAGTTTGCTCTGAGAAGGACACAGAGCCTATGCATGATTCTGCAACAACTACCCTAAACTACGCTGAACGTCTGGCGGGTGACCCCTGATGACGCTAGACGGTGTCTATCTCTTCAAGTGCCACAAAGCAGTCTCTCTATCTCTAAACCCTAAACCCTAAATCGTGTACCCTAAACCCTAAACGAGTCTAGCGCAGCCTGGTTGCAATTTGTTGGAAGGCTAAAGCCATCCACCTGAGCATCAGACTCAGATCCCAACTCAAATCAGGTGAATCGATCCGAGGTCAGCATTAAGTCAGGACTTCGGGTGAAATTTTTTCTATTTGGACACATTTGGACCAAAGGCCAACTGTCCAAGGATCCATGTTTACGCATGCAGTCACACCAGTTTTTGGAGCCATGGCGCAGTCTCAACCTTCAACTCCATGCCACGTTCTGCAACCTGCCCAGGGGCACATCCGATGAAAGCAAATTGGGAGGGCTTAAAAAGTTGCAACAGGAACTAAATGATGAAGCTAAAGCAGAGTTGGGGCATTTAATGCTTGGGTCCCTCCCTGTGTGAGAAGGAACTTGAGCATGGAATCCTCAAAGCTCCTGACAGACATCCACGGAGCAACATGTTTCAAACCCTGGCGGAGCATGTGCTGCATGCTGCTTGTATCAGCAGGCGCCCCAATTCAGGAGGACTAGCATTGATGTTGTACAGGTGCAGACGTGCAGATGGACATTCTGGAGCTCCTTGCAACGATTCACCACTTGATCGTGCGATGTTAAAGGCCCAGAAACTGCGAATTCTCTTTGGACTCGAGGGGCTGGGAGGCCGTCAAACAATCTTGCAATATATCTTGCAATGGTCCGAGTACGTCCCAGTCAACGGAAGAAACATGCAATCTCATTCGGTTGGCCCTACAGAGGTGTCCGCCCTTGCGGAAGGGGCCTGTACGGAATTCTATATTTGTCTGAGCCTGAGCCTCGGCCTGAGCGGGGGCAAGTTGTTGCCTACTGAGAACTTTTCACATGCAGCCGCAAGTGTGACCAAGACTAAATTTGAGTCGGTCACAACACGTGGCCCCTCCCTGTTCCTCTGCTGTGTTCCGGCAGGTGGTCTTATTGCTGTTGTCCCCTGCTCTGACAGAGTCACCCAAACTCTTAGCGGTTGCCACGTCTTCCTACACATACATACAACAACCCGTCAAGAGACACCCCATTAGGCGAAAGCACCCGTGAATGAGCCATGCCTGTCTTCAGATCCTGCAGACTCCGCGAAGCCCACCGCTTTGTTTGGGCCAAGTCGGTCGGCTTCAGCACACAGATGGATACCGGCAAAAAGCTGGAATCTGGGGGTTGGTGGTTCTGTTTCTTAATGGACTGGAAAGTAGCAAAAGATCTCGCGAAATGGGATTCGACGTCTTCAGCAATATTAACTCAGGAGCCAGGGTTGTGATTGTCGAGCATCTTTATTAGGGTAATAGATTAGCAGTTTTGAGCGGATTTTAGGTGGGAACCACCTTGCCAGCAAAGCAACGCCAGCAAAACTGATGGCCCGTCATAACGAAGTCCACAACGATGCAGTCAGGCTCCAGGCTAGTCATTCATGCCGTGGACCCTTCATGTGAGCTATAGTCTAAACTCTTGCAAAGGGGCTTATAGAGAGATTATATTGGGGATTAGTATAGGTGTTAGTAAGGGGTAGACTAGGAGTTTAGACGATAGCTCATGCCAGAACATGCCAGCTGGGTATCCAGGGATCTTCTTGCCCGGGGTGAGAGCACATCATCATTCTCATGGTTCTTGCCATTCCTGCCTCATACTTGTGCATGTCCTCTGTTCCAATGCTTGACATCTCATGGAAAATCCAGAAGTTACTGTTGAAACTCTTGCTGTTCTACCAGTGGCCTAGTAAATAGCTCATAGCTTCCTGCAAATTTCTGAGCCCCAGGTCCTCAAAAGTGAGCACAGTCTTCGCGCCAGCGTGACAGTTGAGCCCTTCCCATTTCATCCCAAAACACACTCCCTCAGGACATCCGGGACATCGTAATCACTATTCCCCTCCTGTTTCGAGGTGCCCACATGGCCTTGTTGGCGGCATGCTCTGAACAAGTTCGGGCCTCGTCAGGCGCAGCGCCCATCCCGGAAAAAGCCCCTAATTGCCTTCATATGCACTGTCTAAGGGGCTAGAGACCTTAAACCGAAAACTTGTTTTTTGCATCTGGATTGCAGCGACTCATCCAGGTCAACCCCGTCATCGGCCCCCTTCCCCTCAGACACCTCCCTTAAGACCCCGAAGCTTTGGGGCTAACTCAACTCTGAGGCAGCTTCTCGTTAGTAACCTGTGTTGTGAAAGCGCAACAGTAACAGATACAAGTGAGGCCCGTTCGAGGTGTTCAGGGATACCACAACAAGATCAAGAATGACATGCACAAAATGGCTTGGGCGGCTTGATTTCCAAGAGTCTCTGTGCAAAAAGATAGAAAGGCATCACAACACTAGTCACGACTGGGATGGCCCACCTCTCAGTATTTGGAAGACGTCATTCGTGTACATGTTGGGACATTTCCATCATCCCTGTCAAACAGCGCTGAGCTGAGCCCCTCGCATTTTCCACGGCAAAGGCGCCATTGCCCAAAATGGCAACATTGTTGCCTCGCAATTCAGGTTCAGGGGGTGGGCTTCAACAACAAAACTGATTGTCTGCAGCCCTTCTAGCTTCATTCCGTATTCCGGAAGATGCCCTGTTGCGTTTTGGCAGCAGGCTGATCTTTCAGGAGATTCTACTGCAGCTTTCCTAAGAAACAGTGAATTTTCCAACTACTGTGCCGCTCTGGGGCTGTGAGCCATTTGGGTATGACCGCTGCCGCTACAATTCTGCTTCCTAGTCTGCGCTGGTCTCATTGACTTGCCCGGCCTTTCAGCTCTTCGTAGGGGCAATCATCATTCATGCCGTACGCGATGTGGCCTTGCGCCATTACCATCTGCAGCGCGACCGCTTAGTCACAAGGGCGAACAGCCCGACGCAGTGCCGAATAACCCACGCAAGGCAAGCAACCCCCCACCTCCGAACTCATCTTCACCAGGGTAATCGATAATCCGGTTCCTGCTCCAGCAACTATCAGGCAAGCGTCTGAATGCACTAGCCTCTCCGGCCCAGCGAGTGCAAGCCAGCAATAAGCCAACAAATCGTCCTGGTCATGCAACCTGGGTAGTTGTAGAGACAGGACACGTTGACCTGTGCCACGGGTATCCGCACGCTCAGACTGCACCTTTTGTTTAGTGGTTCAGTCAGGAAAGCAGAAGCATCCATGCACGGCAAGCGTGGCTTGACGCAGCCTCCGAGGAATCACCTCCGTCAACGGGAGCTACCGTGAGCTTGTAGTACCGCTCATGCTGGTCCCTGAGTGAAGTATGGAAAGCTGTTGCCAAGGCTCAAGGAGCTTAACGCAAAGTTTTGGTAAGATCAAGGCCTATCCCCAACGATGTCCAGCTTAGCTACGTTCGTCTTGAACCTGAAGTTGGGCAGCACCTGGGGTGCAGCCATGCTTTCACGTATCCGACTGCTGCCACCCTAACGCCACTGACAAATGGTGGATCAAGTTCCATGTTTCACTTGACTCGCACCATGCTCTCCTGCCAGTGGGGTTGCTGCGCCGGCATGGACAGCACAGGGCTTCAGAACCCACAACAATATGCGAATTCCAGGCGCCAAACTCCGTAGGCCTCGGCTGCATGCTGGAAGTGCGCCAAGACCTATCAGCAGGTCACGGTAGGCCATTTGCTAGGAACATACCTTAGCGGGACCTTGAGCCTGACTACCTGGAAGGCCGGATGAAAAAGCAGTTCCATGCCTCCTTCTTCTTGGGCCAAATCTCCCAGCCTCTTGGGTAAGGACCTCAGAAGGCTTCCCCAAGAATGCCTCTTGCCTGGGGCATGCTGGTACACCCGCAAGCTGCATTTTGGCCACTCGCAAACTGACTGTAGATTCCTGGACTTTTGCCCGGCTGGACATATGCCGAGCGCTGAGCATTTCTCTGTCTTCAGGTCCTGCGATGCAGGCGGAGCTTCCCGCAAATGTTCACAAGCTGTGGGCTTGCGGCCGGCTTATACTGTTTTGGAGATATAGGGAAGCATGCATTTTGGCCATGAAAATGCACAAACGTCACCACAAACAGCTAGCAAGCCCAAGTCGAGCAGGCAAGTCCTCTCCCCACCAAATGTGAAAGGACCTTCTCGCAACGCGAGAGCAGTGAAACGCATCAACAACATTGAACAACTGCCGCTGTACCGGAGTCACCGAGGGCTTGTATGCTTTTTGTGTGCGACAGGGCTCCGCACTACGTCCTTGAACAGCAGTTTTCAGGCTGATGTGCGATTCTGTCCCAAGCGCGTAATTAAGTTGGACCATTTGGGACCCTACAGCGCTGAATCCTGAAAACATCCACGCCCACAAACCTATCCTCAAAGGCCTGCGCGCAACGGGAAGTTGCGGAGCAAGCCAAAATGGGCTGAGGTCGAAGCCCGAACTCTGTCTGAAGCTTGGAATGCGTGTTGGCGGCAGTGATCCAGCAGTAGCCGCCAACCTCCAAATGACTGAAGTTCCTGGACCCCAAAGAACTGCCTTCACATGCTGAAGATGCTTCTCAAGATTACCAGAAATGTCAAGCGCTGCGTCAAGAGACTTCATTCAGTATGACTCGCATTCCATAACTGCCGCAGCAGCACCTGTACTACCAGACTGTCATCAAGGCATCCGTGTCACTCATAACTGCCAAGTGATGTCCCGCAGCCTTGTCATTGCGGTCGAAGACGATGTAATTGTCATTGCCAGCCTGCTGGGGCATGAGCTGGTTCTTCACAAAGTATAATATCGGCCTTACGGCCTTACATTCTACTGTTTGTTCCCTGCTTGCCAGCTTAGAGCTTAGAGGCTGGCCGCTTCAAGAACTTTCCAAGCCCAACCTCCTGACCCACGAACTTGTTCTGCTGGATGCTGCGCAAAACCACTTCACAATGTAGCCCGAACAAACACACTTTACGTGGTGGGAACTCCGCCAAGCTGTGCCGCATCATTAGTTTGAGGCAGCTCGGGCATCAAGTTTTAATATCGTAGGTAGCAATGTTGCCATTGCTGGCGCTGTGATTGTTTTGAACATACAGTAGCTGTTGTCGACTCGCATACAGGTCATTGTCCATGAGATCTAAGTCTGGCTGCCCTTACGAAACCTCCTTCTGCATCACATGGATGAGTTCAAACATAAGGCTGTTCCATCCATCCGTTGCCTTGGTGTACAGCATGGCGGTCTTCAGACCATTGTAGCCTGCACCTGTCTCGCGGAAATAGCCATCATGCGTGTCGTAAAATCTACTGTACGGCTTTGGACCAGTCCTGGCGGGTAGCAGGTTGCTCAAACGTGTAGCTGTCGCAGGCCAAGAAAAGGCCCCTCTAGCTTCCAAGCTCTAATCCCAAAATAGTGCAGACATGTTTCCGCCGTCATAGGCATAATTTTGAAAGTGCGGATGAGAGAACACCAAGCATGCAATGCAAAGCCCACCTATGACGCCAGTCGGATGGGGCCATTCATATCTGCCTGGCCTCAGTATTTATGACTTTCCACTCCCTGCCGATTCACGTTGTTGAGACATGTTGAGACCAGTTGCCTGTTGCTCTTCAGATTGTAACCCTAACATTGTCCAAAATCACAAGCTAGTACATGCCAAGAACTGCCCATCATGCCAAGTGACGATGCAATCACCAGGCCATAAAAAGAAAGAAAGGAACCACGAAAGGGAATGCAGGAACCACGACAAGCAAGCATAAGAAAACGCGTCACATGATGGAATGCAAGTCTTTGTAGCTGCTCGCTGCTTGTGAACGTCTCTACAGTCAGAGCTGCACCTGGGGACAACCCAAAAAATGAATCCGCTTTTCGGTACTCTCAAAGTCCAAAACGGTTACTCCCTCGCAGGTTGCCTTTTTATGGTTGGACAGCCCCACCAAACGGGTGATTTTCAAGGGGGATTGGTTGGGAGTCTCCATTTTCAAGCTTTTGGGGCTGGAAAACTCCAAAACTGTGGCTCCCCGTCCCCCCCGAGGTTGCCTTTCGCGGTTGGTGTCCAAACTCCCTGGGGTCCAGACCGAAATGACTTGACACCTTTGACGATCACCTTGGCAGCGCGAACATGATGGTGCTCTTTTTCGACGCGTGCATGAGGAATTCATTGTAACCTTGCTTAGAATACGCACCTTGCATGTCTCAGAACACGGACTATCCTATTTTTCATTTACACCTCCTCCCAAAAAAAGTATCTCTGTAGAGTTTTGAACGGAAACAGAGACTGCGAGGCCCAGCAAATGTTGCAATCTCGTCGGCCAACATCTGTTTGCGGGTGCTGCAACCTGCAAAGGCATCGAGTTTGCGGACCGGGCACTGAGTTCTCAAGACTAAAGGGATCTTGCAGGGCAGGGATGAAACACCTTGAGAAGGGCCTAAAAAACCTTGAGATTGCAGAAAACCCGGATTGCACCAGACTTATAAATGCCATGGATGGCTACAGCAGGCTTATCATGGGCTTTGCAGTTTGTTTGGGCTTTGGCTTCGTGCAGTACCTATAATAAGGGTGAAGCCTACATACTGCTGCTCGCGGAACAGAATGGCCAGGCCGCCTTCCAGTACTGGGCAATGGACCTTGTTCCGAGCTCAATTGGCTAAACCGTTTAACCCCTTGGACATCGTTGTCAGCACTGTGCGGCCTTGCTTCACGAGGAAGAGAATGCCTCAGTGACTGATTTGGCTCCGTTTTCATGTCTTGGGTATCCGAGGCGCCTCTTAAAAGGGAAGATCTTCCGTCAAGAAACTTCTGAGGTAGGTGGGCTCTGGCGCAGGACCCGAAGTTGGGGCCAGTTCAAGCTTCCAAGTCCCAAGCGAGGATCCCCTGGTTTGGACTTGACCCGGTCGTATTTTGGTCACTTCAATTCTTAGGGAAGTCTCCGTCAAACCCTTCGATGAGCACGCCGTCCACCTTGTGACAAGAAAATATGGTTCAGACTTGCACCCTGTGCCCGCATGCTGGAGCGAAGTCCTTTTTTGGCAAACATCGATCCCATGACGAGAACAAGTTGTGACTCTGTCCCTTTTTGATGTCCGGACTGGCACAGCCGCCTGTACATGCTTTCCGCGACACTTGTGATAACTGCAGCAACTTGTCGCCAAAACGCTATTGGAGCGGTCTGTCTGTCAGACAATGCCAGCCGTCTCAGGCCATGTTGATCATGAAGCCTCAGGGCCAACTCAAAGTAGCTGCCTCCTTTTCGGCTCAAGAAATCAAGGGGCAACAATGCCATTCTGTTCGACTAGGTCACTGCTACTTCTCCCTCCGAGTTGCATGTCACTACTCTATCTAGGCTACATGAGCACTGACTGATCCTGCATATGCTGCCGTTGATCGTGTATGTACGACTTCTGAACTTGGTGCCTGAGCAGTTTTCACTGATCCTTTGCAGTCTTCAGCTCCTGCACCGTGCAAGTTATCACGCCAGACTGATCAGGCTGGCCTCGGCTTAAGCATAAAAAACCTGTTGAGCAAGTTGAGCATGGTAGAGGCTCAGTCAGTTTCCCAGCCAGCTTCACAAATGAGGCGCCACAACATGATCCGAAATATGAAAAGCTGCAAAGGAAGAACACCCACAACAAAGCCTCATTTTTGGCAGGTCTAGGCGATTCCCGCTCGCACCCTGTTAAAGGGACGCTCAATTTTGGGAAGTTCTCGTGTCACCAAGGAAGCTGTAGGTCTAACATACCCCCTTTGGGTCCTGCTTCTGCGCATGTCTTGCTGCACGGGAAATGAATCCTGCAGATGCGAAGAGGCCGACAACGGGCAGCCTTAGAAGGCAAGCTGGCAATTACAGGAGGGCTATGAAGAGACAAGCACAGGTAAAATCTTCCAAAACAGGGTCAGGCTACAGCGACGATGGCTGCAAGCTCCCGGACTGAGCCGGGCAAATTGAATCTCTACATGTGCCAGTTTCACCGAATGTAGCTGATGAACTTCCATGCTCTCTTTCGGTGGGGGATCAAAAAAGCAAATAAGGACCAAGAAAATCAAAATCGCCAATCAGAAATCAAAATGAGAATCAACAACAAAGCAATATGAAGAGGGCCCTCTGAAAGCTCGATTACCCAAGGAACGTACTACGCTAGAGGGCGTAGCGGTTCCAGAATGTCAATCTGCACGTGCAACACGTGGTGCACAGTTCGAGAATGCGAGAACATGCAAACGTGTGACCTCCGCAAAATGTGCACTGTGAAATGGAGCATGGAACTGGCAGCGTATTTGACGTCAACAAGTTGCGGTAAGAGCTATATGGTTCATTTGCAAACAATTCCCGAAAGTGGCAGTTGAGGAGGGTTCATCAGACCTGATATGGCTTCATGTTGTTGTTGTTGTTGTGGTGGTGGTTGTTGTGGTTGTTGGTTGTTGGTTGTTGGTTGTTGTGTTGGCTGTTGGCTGTTGGTTGTTGGCTGTTGGCTGTTTGTTGTTGGTTGTTGGTTGTTGGTTGTGGTTGTTGTTGTTGGTGGTGGTGGTGGTTGGTGGTTGTTGTTGGTTGTTGTTGGTTGTTGCTGGTTGTTGTTGGTTGTTGTTTCCGGAGCAGGGGGATCTGGGGGCTCGCACCCCAACCCCCCACCCACCCCCCCTCCCCCAGTTTGCAAATCATTGAGGTATGTAGTACTGGTTGATGAGGATGCGCACTAAACATGCTACGTGTTCATGTTCATGTTTTGTTTTTTTCCGGAGCGGGGTGGCGGGGAGGGGGAAGGCGCAGCCCCCTCCAATCCCCATCTAATGAAAATCATGGAAATGACGAGAGTGATGAGCATGATGAAACTGGATGGAAATCTGCAGAACACAGAGAAGGTGATGAAACATGATGACACATGCTGAAAATGTTGGACTATATTGACACATGGCGACCTTCCTTCCTTTCTTCCTTTGTGCCTTGGGTTGTCCTTGTTCAGGCGCGGGGAGAGGATTTTCCCTTTGATTTCTCTCTAGTAATCTAATAGGCATTCTGACTTGTTATTGATCCTTCTTTGACTTGTTGTTGATCCTTATTTGATCTGTAAATTGACCTGTATTTGATTTCGTCCACATCCCCCCTTCTTTGGTGCGGTCAGGCCGCAATGCTATTGCCCAGCGCATCTGCTTGGGCAGAAGCGGAGGAGGAACCTGGCAGCCGCTGATGATTGTACTTTGTCTGGGCTCATTTGGGTGGTTTCCGCCAGGGGTACCTTTGTGGGGGTCCCTAAAATAAGCATGATCGTATTTTGAGCTCTCTTTGGGGGTCCCCTTATTTAGGAAAAGCACCATTTCTACTTGCCTACATTGAGTCCAGCAGTACACCCTCTGCATGGAACACAGACAAAACTGTTGTGTACATGGGACTTACTGCGCACCCAACGACGGGAGCAGGTAGTTTCCCATGCCTTGGATGATTAGCCTTCCATGGAGTGCCTTACGCATAGAGTGGCAATTCCAGCAAAATTGGCGATAAGTGAGTTTGGTTTCCAGAGGCAGGTTGTGGTAATTATGTGGAATCCAGATTCCATGCACACCAGGGCACATGCCTTCTGTGCTATCTCAAGCCGGGCATGGGTAGACCTAGCTGGTCAGAGCTGGGGCTGCAAGTCAGCACCCATAAGTAATGTCGTGCATCTCTCAAACAGTAATGACAAAGAGAGATAGAATCAAAAGAGCAGAGCTAGCAGCAATTGCCATGATAGCCCTGATGCTATTAGGAACTGTCACCATTTCCCCGTTTCTCAAATGTAGGAAGGGCCCTGTGTAGCACTCAACAAGTTGTATCGTCTTCCTGTAGATGCCACAAGAAGGACTCATGAATTCTGCAGTGTTCCCGATAGTAGTAGTGGTAACTTCCCTCAACAGGGGGACTCCAAGATAGACCCCAAACTACTATAGTCCATAGTCCTTATTCTTGGGCCCCCTAATCTTGTGAAACCCTAATCCCTTTTCCATTATCCCTAGATAACCCCTCAGAAGTTAGTAGTAAGAATGCCGGGCAAACAGTCAAAGATCAAGGCGGACCTCCTTATCGGTCCACTCGTCGAAGCCCATCCTGAGATTCTTCAGATTCCTGATTGCGCTCTATTAGCACATATACTTGGATTGACTGTGGTACCACAGCGAAGGACGAATTTGTGCCTCATAACTCATAGCAGCTAAAGTTCCACCATCCTCTCTGAGGATTCTGTTCTCTCTGGCGGGCACGCGCTCTGAAAGCGCATCACCGCCACCATGATTTCCGTGATTCCCCCCAGGCAGTACACAAAGCTAGCAAAGAGGGGCATGGCAAGAGACCCAAAAAGTTTGGTACCATCATAGCTGTGAAACTGAGCTGACCCTTCCAACCAGTTCCAACCTTGCCACCCAAGGGTCAGGGGTACGCGCCTTACCTTCCCGGTAGGCCGTAAATGCGCCACCTGATGCATGGCGAACGCTTCAAGTGTCTGCGGGCTCTTTCTCTTGCTGTTACAGTCTCACAAGTATTGCTTGAGGCTGTGCTGACTCCCGCATGATGGTCCACACATGTCCACACCCACTGAAATTTGGGGGTACTGCTATAGGAACTCGATCGTAGGAACTGCTAGGTAAAGTAGTATTAATAAATAATTAGTATAGGCATTTGCGGGATTCCCTCCCTAATGCGGCTGCCTGCCCCAGGCACTCCGTGGGCACTGGCTTGCATCCGACACCAGCGAGACGTGGGGCATCCTTGGCTAACAGGCATGGGCTGAGCCCGCTAATGAATCCTCGATGAGTCCTCAGTCAACCAGAACGTATGGATAAAGCGTACAATTCCTCACCGCAGCATGTTCGAATCAGAAGCCACTTGAAGTCTCAGCTCCTGACTATTATTAGTGAGCTGTGAGGCAAGAAGCTGTAACAACTAGCCTGAACCGAAATAGTCACACGCGGAACCGGGTCCACTAGCCTGATATCAGTGTAGGAAGCAGGTCATCACATGTGCCTACATTGGCGTGAGGCTGCGAACGTGCTCAAGCAAGTCGCTGCTGGATGTAACAGGTAATGGATTCTCTGAACTAGGGCCGGCGCTCCTGCTATGTGAGCTTACTTGTAGGTGCCAGGTGGCTCGATGACCCTTTCATGTTGCAGTGCTACAGCACCATGCAGTCTCCCTGGGGATAGGGGACCCAAAGCATGGATTTGATAACTGCCTTCGCCCCACCTCCCCCGTCCACAACGGACTTCCATGACTCCTATCAAGCCAATCCAATCCTTGGCGGTCTGAGAAGCTGTCTTGATGGGGCAGTAGTAGTTTCCATAGGCCCGCAGGTATCCTTGGTGCACAGAAATGCTTGCGCCAAGCCAAGACAACCCAAACTGCATTGGGCACCATCAATGCACTCAAGCCAGTTCTGGCGACATGGCTTCCCAGGTGAAAGCATCCCACATGAATGTTGGTTCCAAAGCCCGCGGGCTTTGCTGCCATGAAGGGTGGTTTTGCCTTGACATGCGTTTGGTGCATTCTTTTATCTTGAATATGTCTGCAGTTAATCAAAACTCTGAATTTACCAGCACTTCGGAAACCCATGCTCAACAATGTCGTGGTACCTGCGCCTTCAACATTTCTGCTGAATCATGTTGCGAACTTGGCTCGACTTAGCATGGAGTCGGCAGCGACCAGTTGATCCTTGCATCGGATCCGTACCTGTCCAGGGTCAAGTGGGTCCAGCTTGC